TGCATATGCTTTCATTTTCTTGACGCAAAACATAATACTCGCAAGATTCTTGTACGAACCTCCAGCACCCTATACGGTTTCCAGGAATTTGTCTCGATGACACTGCTAAATATTTCTACTGAAATGATTCTAGCGGATTTATTGGACTACGGAACTAAGCGAACACAACACATATCGGTGCTCTTTAAAGAAGTTAGCCTCGCTGGAGACGCTATACACACACAGTGCAAAAAAAAAAGTGCTTTACCCTTCCGGAATACGGCCGCAAACAGTGGTAATTGCTTCTGATTGTTGGGAATGCTATGCACTAATCTTGTAAGGGTACTTATGAACTATGAAGATAAGCACTGATTACAGATGTATGAATTGCTGAATTCCATTTTCAGATAAACTGATACACGCTTTTACAGCAGCACCAAAAGCTATACTGTGTTTACTTGAAAGTACTTCCACCGCAATGTCCAAGGAAGCGGAAAAAAGTTCCTTCCCTTCTGTTGCTATGGGCTTCAAACTAACGGCATGAAATGAAAAAAAAAAAAAAGAAAAACTGAGCTGGAGAAGAAACGAGTGCAAAATTCAGTGCAGGCATAAACGGGAAATGGCTGAAAAAACTGGTCGAAAGGCAACTAATCTTAGGCGGAAAAGCACTGGTTAAATGAACATATCACAATAATGTTTTGCAATCGCAAAATCAAAACTTCTTATTCCGTCATAAAAAAACAGAGGTCCCAGGAGAAGTCCAAGTGACCAGCCACAGACAAAGTTGTTGATGGCCCCTTTTCCCTGAAAGCGACTATGAATTTTTGGAATGAGCCAGCACCAATTTTGAGCCGTCAAAATGAAGGAAATATTAGACCCAGGCTGCGATGCACCAAGCTTGCCGGTGCTGCCATGCGATATTTTTGCGTTAAACTTGAAGTAATCAGATCGTTAACAGCATAAATGGTTACTGCGTTACAGTTTAACACGCGACTCATGTTGGTTGTATTTTGCCTTTTCTTGCACGTAAGGGGAAAGAGCGTTGGCTAGGATCGTAACATTGCATTATCGGGTTGCGTGAATCTGTAGCATACATGAATATCAATCTTGCATGAAGAAAAATAAACAGTTTCTGGTAACGGTCGATCATCGGAAAATGCAATTTTCACAATGAAGATGACGTCGGGACAGAAGGATTACAAAATCCGCAAAATGCACTCGTTTTTGAGATCGCGATAAAATTGAGTGTTTTTCATGCCTGTGCGCAGGGAACTTAGCCTCTAAGCCGAATTCAAACTGAATGTGAATATAAAATATCCCTGTAAACCTCCATCTTGGTGGCTTGTCCGACAAGCGAAATCACCACCTCGCTACAAATATCTTTAACATGCCCTAAGCGTTGGTGTAAGTGCAAATCAAAACGCGATTTAGGCATATGATTTCCGAGATGGACGACAAATATTCTGGCACAATCACAGCTATTTTTTTCTGGCTAGTTTTCGATTTTGCGAAGTGCCAAGTTGCAAATTTTGACATAACCGTAAGTATGAAGTAAGCGTGCGCGATAGTTGTATTTGAAATCTTCAGCTCATACATGGAGAGAGGAAGTCCTCATACAGTTCCAGCTTCCTAAGAAGTTTGCCAGTTCCTGAAGTCGCTTTCGACCAAAAAATCTACATATTTTTTTCAGGCGCCGTAGGTGAGACTTGGCCGCGCACGAGCGGTGATTTTAAAGCAAACGAGTGGCACAAGGGATGGGAATATGCTCCTAAAATTTCAGCCTTCAAGCTTTCCTAGTTGCTGAATTGAAAGTGGGTGACAAAGTTCATTCGCCGCAGAACAGATACACACGGGCATTCTCTCGACAATATGCGTTTTTGCATTTGCATAAGAAGCAAAAACACATGAAACCACATAGTCAATCGAACTGGGGCAAACACAGGCAAAAAATTGCCTTTTGGCTCAGTAGTGCTACTCTGAATGAAGGCAACAAATATGAAACACATTTGTGAAAGCACAGCGAGTAATTGCTCAGGTTGAAATGCACCAAGCCTGCCGGTGCGATCATGCGTTTTGCACCAAACTTGAACAAGTCGTTAATTGCACGAACGGTTGTTGCCTCACACCCACCTTGTGCGTTCAATACCGTAAATCATCATAAATTCTGCATAAAGAAAATGGACAATTTTCGTCTAAAATGACTTAGTTATTCAGCGAGCATTTTCCCCGCCAAAACTTTTAAGTGCTCGTACACAAGAACCACGCATACCTGTAAGCTGAATTTGAAATTTTTAATTTGCAGTCGGACAGGGAACATTTCCCCAAAATTTCAGCTTTGTAGCTTTTTTTGGTTGCCGAGTTAGCAGTTTTCCCGCCAAATCTTTCATGTATTCGCAATTGTGAACTAAGAACACCTAAGGACAGAATCTGAAATCTTTAGCTCGCAAATGCGCAGAGAAAATCCTGCAAAGTTTCAGCTTTCTATCGTTTCTAGTTTCCGAGATCGCTTTCCCGCCAGAAAATTTACAAATTTTTTTAAGGCATCCATACGCGGCACCCAGGCGCGCGTAGGTGACATTAAAACGTGAGGGTCGCACGATTGGGAGGCACATGCCCCCGAAGTTTCAGCACTTCTGGCTCTCGAGATAGCACTTCTGGTCCTCGAGATAAAAGTGGGAGACAAAATGTTCGCACACACAGCCTCTTGCCAATATGTTTTTTGCAATTTACATATATGCAAAAACGCATAAAAAATGAATTATCATCGGGCAGCCGTATAAGGGCGGCTGGTAGAAATCCTGCGCGCAGACTGAGCACTTCAAATTGTGGATGAGGAGATAATCCGTGAATTTCACTTCCTACGCAACAGTATGCTTAGGGCTGTCTCTAGAGACTGGTTTTTCCTTTCCCGACCCAAGTGTTGACAAATTGGAGGAAGAGAGCTTTCAGACTCAGCGCTCGCTTTGATAGCTCTATATTCACGGCAAAGTTGCTCTGAATTTGCTATTTTCCATCTTAAAAGTCGCACATTTCTCGCTAACTTGTACAACGAGAACTTGTTGCCTGTTGTAAATCTAAGGTGGCGGAACGTGAACAATACATATGAACAGATCCTTGCAGAAAATCCTGCAGATTTTGTCTTGTTTGTTTACTTACTACGCTTCTCACAGGCTGTGCTTTGACTGGACCAAGAATGTCCTCGGTCCCGAATATTGGTTTATCATTTTTTTTTTTAATTTTTTCTTAACTAGTCTACGAAAAAGGGTTTACCACACTGCGAATCTCACCTTTTCTCATGTTTCTGTTTATTTTGGCGGCGTTGCTTTGTTCCAAAAGTCCTAGGATTCAGCCGCCGGAAGTCATCATTTAATAAGTATGAATCCCGCTACAAGTCGCAACATAAAGGCAGCGCTTGCAGGAAAGAGGAAAAGGAACGAAAAAGTTTGCACATGATAAATTTCGAAGAAACGAAAAAATGAGGAAAAGCGTACGTCAAAACAAAAGAGGTGTAGTTTAAAGAATACACACGTACGGATTTGCGGGAGGGAGGAGCAGAGAGGAAAAGCTCCACGCAAATGCTATTCACGCACGTATTACTGAAAAGCAATGCTTCATGAGAGAAAAGTGATTATGTAGGGCCAGGAAGGGAGAGAGTGGAGGGAAATGAACGGTGGCGCAAGGGCAGGGATAACGAGGACGTGTATCCAGACGCAACAGCGGCCCTTCCGGATGATAAAATGGGAATTGTCGGGATGGTGTTGCTAAGGTAGCTACGGGCGGAGACCGTCGTCGCCGGAGAGCTGTTTTGCCCGAAGGTGCTCGGTGTTCGCTCGGTGGCTGAATGAGGCGCACTGCAACTGCGCTGCTGCCAGCTTTCTCCCATAAGCTTCCGCTAATCCTTGCATGGCGAGGGGGCTGTGTTGGCCGTCGTCCCAGAGTATGCTCCGGCAGGCACAAATAAATGAAGCCAATTGCCAGTAGTGCAGTTGGTCAGTGCACTGAAAAAGACTGAGGTGAAGCAGTCCAGAACCATACTGTGCCGCTTCGCTGCATTCCTGTTAGCTGAAGTGCTATGCAAAAGCAGAACAGATGCATCAACGCGGCCTCTCAGCTCAGCTGGTTTTTACAAAACCTTTGGGCACCAGATGGAGCAGATTTTCAGGACAACATGGGTCGCCTGGACAGTCGGTATGATCGGATGTTGCTGGTGTTACTGGGAATGCACCTACGCACTAGGCGTTGTTGCGCTAGTCAAATAGCTGTGATGTATTTTGCGATCTAGAAAACATTTATCAGCAAAAAGCACTGAGCATCTGGCAGTCCACTGATAACCAGCACACTGAGCATAGAGGTAGCTCTGAAATCAAAGTCTTCCGGTCTTTTAGGGCACCCCGAAAAGTTGTGTGATGCGTTAGAGAGGCTTAATCTGGTAACAGATCGATGCGTTCATCAAAAGTACGAACCAGTACGACCAAAGCACGTTTACGTTGAGCGCAGTACAAATGCATTTGTTCTGCCACCACAAAAATCGAACTGCTAAAATTGGGAAATCGACTGGCTGCAACTTTGATAGGCTCGTGTCCGTGGACCCAAGCAAGTTTCCAGACGGTATGAAACTGTAGAAATTCGTTTGTTCAAAAAGTGGTCGTCATTTTCGACTTTTAATTCAGGGCAATTTTGCGTTATTAAAAATTTTAACATGGAGCAGCACAAGCGCTTTGTGCATATGACGGTGCATGCGTCCCTTTGAGGTAGATGAGAGAATACAGGACTGCTCTTGTGAGTGCCATTTAGTGCAACTGACTTAGCGTCTGGAACTGACGGCGTCCCTTCAAGCTCATTGGACACTTCCCAGTGTAATGTTAGACCGATCTAGCCTTGCTTTTACCGGCCATATTGGTCTACCTCAACAATGTTGCCCTGCCTGCGCTTCCTCCTTTGCATACACCCCCAGCATCGTTTGCACGGGTCAGTGCTTTTAGTGACATGCTTAACAAAAACAGCTGAAAGAGGAAGTGCACTCAAATGACCACAGAGAACTTTGCAATGCAACGACAGTTATGCAGGAATATATGGCCAAAATCGTGACACTGCGAGCACAACCTCAGTGAAAACAAATCTTTACAACTATTTGTAACAATGTCCCAGGCACAGCCGAGCATATCATCCAGCGATTCCTGAGCATGTTCCGTTGCTGCTCCAATTGCACCGCCACCCGTTCTGCCCGACCTCCGAAAGTGCGCACCACTTGGTGCAGCTTCCATCCCGGGATTCTGCAGCTGACTTGTGAAATCGGTGAAGGACGTTTCCGGAGCAGCGGGTAGCAACGGTACTGCCACTGGTGCTAGAGTAGGTAGTACAGGCGGGGGCACTGGGGTCGGGAATTTTGCTAATTGCAGAAAATCAGAATTTTTAGGTGAATGAAAATCAAGTTGCTGCTGATTTTGACTAAGCATCAGTAAACCGGGTAGATTAAAATTGGGGTATGGTACTGTTGTTCGGGGCCCAAAGCCAATATGCGAGGCGGGTGGTGTGACTGGATAATCGGTTGTGAAAGGCTGAACTGGAGTTGTGAGCGGTAAAGTTATTTCAAATTCAGCATTCGGAGGTGTGAAGATGTTTAATGTGCTAAGCAGGGTCGGTTCGGTGACTGGAGGATAGCTACGAACGGTGATCGTTGTACGCTTCATTTTTTGTCGCATTTCTAGCTCATTATCAATTAGGTTACTATCCAGGTCGTCACCACTGTCATCCACATCAATCCCTGCGTCAGTCGGCGCCACTATGCCAATATTTGGCTGCTGATCTGGAATAAATGGTAAGAAATAGTGGCACTCGTCATCAGATCGTTGTGATTATGCATTTTGGCTCTTTGCAACTATAGGTGCAAAACTTGACGGACCAAAGCAGCATGAAAAAGCATTGTTCCACCACGATCTATGACGCCACTCTTTAAGCTCGGATGCAATACTACCCTAAATTGCCCCTGCCAGACCAAACTGTATGTTTTTGGAGCAGTATTATGTGCTTTTTATGCGTTTTTGCATATGTGTAAATTGCAAAAAGCACATTGGGAAGAGGCTGTCTGTGTGTGTGTCTGTGTGTTCGCACTTTTTTCACCACTTTCAACTCGAGAATCAGAAAAAGTAGAAGGCTGAAACTTTGGGGATATGTGCCTATTCCATGCGCGATCCTCCCGTTTTAATTTCATCCCCTGTGGACGCCTGGGTGCCGTGTACAGACGCTTTAAAAAAATACGCAAATTTTTTGGCGGGAAAGCGATTTCAGGAACCACAAGAGCTAAGG